TGTAGGTTATGGTCATAAAGAACTATATCACTCCAAACTTTTTGAGACATGTTAACAATTACATTCGTGATATTTGTTACCAAATTGTTTCATTTTCTTCTTCATATTATCACAGCTAAGGTTAGTCACTATTTTAAACATTGTGCAGACCTTCCTCCTGAGAATGAAACAAGTGGTTATATATTTATTCATGCTGAGGGTGGTCTAAATCAGCAAAGAATTGCGGTATGGATTCTTTTCTTCTGGTTGCAACCTGAGTGAGTGATTTTCTTATCCTGTTTCCAGTTTTTATATTTCAAATGTATCTTATGGAGTTGGAAGGAGGTCAGAAACCTTTTTGAAGTGATTGAGGTTAAAATTACTGATACTTATAGTTGCTGTCACTGACTTGGATTTTGAAAAAAATAAAAAAGATCTTGCCTCACCTTGCAATTCAAAAGCGTTATGATCAATTATGTTGTCACCTTGATGACTTTAACTTAAAAATCTATGAAATAGAGTCTAAAATTACAATATTTTGTTGACATTTTCTTGGCCTATTGTGTCCTAGGGACTTCTTTTTGAGAAGACATACATTCTTATGATACCAGTAATTGATATGAACAAAAAACAAAGATGATGATAAGCACATCAGTGCCTAAGATGAGAATTAGCAAATAAAGTGCTTCCTTAAAGTACTTTTTGCTGCTTGGTTCTTTCATGATTTCTTGATCTTAATCTTGGTTCTATGCTAGTTTTATCATTTCCAAACACCTTTTAATCGTTCTTAAAATGGAACTTTGGCTGAATGATTTCTGAAAATTCTACTCATTTGGTATCTTTTAATGGCCAGCAACAAACTTACAAACTTATTGCATATTCCATGCAGATATGTAATGCAGTGGCTGTGGCCAAAATTATGAATGCCACTCTTATCTTGCCAGTGCTGAAGCAGGACCAGATTTGGAAAGACCAAACGTGAGATTTCTCGTCCAATAACCTCATGCATGCTGTTAGTCTTGTGCACATAATGTTCTAACCATTGTAACATAAGTACTCATATATGCATTAGATAATAAAAGAGAAGTGACTGAGATTATTAATTTAGCAAAAAGATGTGTTTAATTATTATACTAGAGCTTCCCAACCTTAATACACACAAATTGTGTTATACTAAAGATTATTTTTATTAAGACTATGGAGTTTGGAATTAAATTCCTGTTTGAACTATAGTGCCTTTGTGTCAGTTCCCATGATGTTAAAGCTTCAATAGTGCCTAAAATCTACGAGGAATAATATAGCATGTGTTAACATTGAAATTCTTATTAATTAACAATTGAAATGTTTAGGTGCATCATAACTGTTTCTTTATTCAAGTTAAATTGTGGTTGGCTTATAACCTTGTCAAGGACAAGCTATCAAGTTTCATATATAAATAGCAATACCTCAAGATTAAATACATTCTTGCCACCGAACTGAGCTTTCAAGCTCTAAGCTAACTATAGGTTGGTTAAAATTCTCAGTTTCTTTTGCTACTCACTAATCACTTCATGAAACTAAGTAAATCGCTTTATTGCGTTGCTTACTATCTAACTGCAGCAACTCCATTTCCTGCTTTTGTTTGTAATGTATTTGTAAAATTATGTGCAGGAAATTTGAAGACATTTTTGATGTTGATCATTTCATTGACTACTTGAAGGATGATTTGCCAATTGTCCGGGACATACCTGAGTGGTTTACTGACAAATCAGAATTATTTACAAGTATAAGGTGATTTTTCATGATTCTCTGTCTCTCTGCTGGTTTTGCAATTATAATTAGTCAAATTTCAACTGCCAATTTAGAAGCTGTTTGCTTCTATGGATTTGCTTCAATCATGATGGTGTTATGATTTTCCTCATTGTTTGTGATTGTGACTATCATTGGCATGAAGTCCTTGGAGACACAAAAGCTAGAGGTGGTGGAGATGTGGGTCCTCTGTGGGCTTTGAATGATTGGGACATTTTTCATAATGACTTTTAATAGACAACATACCAGCAATTTCCATTCCATTGTTTTATATTAATTGATAGATTATATTAATCTTTTATTTATTTTTTCATCTTGGAAACAATGGAACCTTGTTGCCAATTATGTTAAAAAATAAAATGTTAGAACATATGTTGCTCATGTGTCATTTCATATATGTTAGAATCATTGGTGCTAGGCCTTCATCATGCTAAATCTGTATCATAGTTTGTTTGGATCTTGTAGCCATTCAATCATAGGCTTTATTGGGTAATGATGTCTCTACTTCAAATGTGACATGAGAATTCGAGAATTAATAAAGCTTCTTTATAGACATCTATTCCTACTTTTTTCCAATGGAATTGTTATCATGGAGGGATTTTGTGATGTGTAATAGACGGACAGTGAAGAACATTCCAAAATATGCACCAGCACAATTTTACATTGACAATGTGCTGCCTCGGATTAAAGAGAAGAAGATAATGGCCCTGAAACCTTTTGTAGATAGGCTTGGGTAAGTCATGGATGTTGTAGATATGTGTCATGATTACTTTTAAAAGTTTACATTTCAGATAAGAAACTTGGGGTTGGGTTGTTAATTCTCTTGCACTCTGTATTTCCTTTCCCTTCCTGGGTATTGGTTCAGGTATGATAATGTCCCTCCAGATATCAACAGGCTAAGATGCAGGGTCAATTATCATGCTCTTAAATTTCTTCCAGAGATAGAGCAAATGGCAGATTTATTGGTTTCAAGGATGAGGAACCGCACAGGAAGTCCAAATCCTTACATGTATGTAATATTTTCTGTTAAGGCACAAATATTATGCTGAAATCCTGCTATTTGAACTCCAGGTTTACTAACAATCCATTTCATTCAGGGCTTTACATCTTCGATTTGAGAAAGGGATGGTGGGCCTATCATTCTGCGATTTTGTGGGGACTAGGGAGGAGAAAGCTAAAATGGCAGAATACAGAAAAAAAGAATGGCCTCGACGGTATAAGGTGATTTAGAACAACTTGCTTTTTCAGCTTGTTTGTTTTTTGAGAACCAAAAATTTGCATGGATTTTGCTTATTTTTGTTGCGACTGTGAATGCAGAATGGATCCCATCTCTGGCAGCTGGCTCTGCAGAAGAGGAAGGAAGGACGGTGTCCTCTTGAACCTGGGGAAGTGGCAGTGATTCTTCGGGCAATGGGCTATCCCAAGGAAACACAGATTTATGTTGCTTCTGGCCAGGTTTATGGTGGTCAGAACCGGATGGCGCCCTTAAGGAACATGTTCCCAAATCTGGTACATTCTATTTTTAATCTTATTTTCTATGGATGCTAGAAAATCTTCTTGTCTGCAATCATTTTTGGATATCCAAAGACAATATTACTATGCATTTTTTAAACTATTTGTAGCATTTTTGTGTTCAAGTGTTCAGCATTTTATATATCTGGGGAGTATCTCTTCCTGTGCTACTGTCCTTGTTCTATATGGGAGCAGTGAAGCTGTATACCCATCCAGATCTGTTAGTTAACAAACAGGAATTATGTCTGAGACTGCAATGCAAGTAGTTGACTTGACACATGAAATGCAGACTGTCACGTTTTGTTTTCCTCTTCTTTGATTTTGTGAAAATAAATCCTTGTTTTGTTTTCTTTTGCAAAGTTAAGCTGATCTTACACGGCTTTCTAACAGGTTACCAAGGAGGAGTTGGCAAGTAAGGAGGAGTTAGCTGTTTTCAGGAAGCATGTAACAAGCTTGGCAGCACTTGATTTCTTGGTCTGCCTGAAGTCTGATGTGTTCGTGATGACACATGGAGGCAACTTTGCTAAATTGATTATCGGGGCGAGAAGGTACATGGGTCACCGTCAAAAATCCATAAAACCAGACAAGGGGCTTATGTCTAAATCTTTTGGGGATCCTTATATGGGCTGGGCAAATTTTGTTGAGGATGTGGTCGTCACCCACCAGACGCGAACTGGATTGCCAGAAGAGACCTTCCCTAACTATGACCTTTGGGAGAACCCCTTGACTCCTTGCATGTGTAAAGCCTGATAGCACGAATTTCTTTTCACTAGTTTATTTTTGAGGAGCTTCACGGAAAGGAAACTGCATATCGGCATATGACAAACTAAAATTCTTTTATCCACAAGCTATAAAGACCAAACAATAAAGTTCTTAGCCCGGAAAAGAGTGAAAACCTGGAAGGGAGTGCGGACAGAGACAGGTATTGGCCTATCAGAGCCGGATTCGAAATTGACCTGGTGGGGGCTGCCTCTCCCGGGGCACCCAGCACTAGCAGTATTGTCTCCAAAAACAACAGATTGATTTTTAACATGTTTGCCCCTTTCTTTATCTATCGGTTTTGGCATATGTCAAATTTGTCACAACGACAGTATATTACTTTGTATTGGGATTCAGGACGACGTGTTAAATGTTAGTGAATGTTCAAGAAAGAGAAATCATTTCATCTGCTTCTTTTTATTTTGGAAGTCGGGTAAGACCGGACAGAGTTGAAAATAAAGTGGGCTCGCATTAAAGGTGTCGGCCATGCCTCATGAGAAAGAATTACTGTCTTCAGTTGTTTTGGTTAGGTGATAAAAAGACGAAGGATCCACATATGTCTGATATTGACGTATGTCAGCAAGATTGACACGTCATCACCACATTATGTGTCTGAAAATGTGTTAAGGACGGAGATAATGATTGAGATTAGGATTTCAATTTTACTCGGACAGATGGAGAATTCGATTTATAGGATAGGAACTATATCGTGAGAATAAAAATGATAATGATTTTAAATTTTTATTAAATATAAAAATATAGAAGAATAATATACTATTTGTTGTGTGTTAGTATCATATATATATATGTATATATTATATTTAATAAATAATTAAAATAATATAAATATTATTTTAAATTAATTAAAATTAATTATCCCTACTTCAACCGAGCATATATTTTTTTTTTGGTTGGTAAAATTAACTATTAACCTTTTACTAATGTTACATGTATCTACAAAAGAGAGTGAAAAAAAAAAAAGTTTAAAAGTCAAGTCAATTTTGGGATTTTATTGCAAAATCTATATTTATAGATTTCACTCACCATTCCATCAAAGTCTGAGGAATAAGACTCGTTAAAAGCCCAAGACTCTGGCGTGACACCGCAAGGAATACACAAAATTGACGAAATCAGCATGAAGATCTTGGTCTTGAGCTTCTTCTGTTACTTCTTCTTCTTCTTCTTCACTCCTTCTCTCTGCAGGTGCTCTCTCTCTCTCTCTCTCTCTCTCTCTCTCTCTCTCTCTCTCTCTTTCATTCCATTGCTGACGGGATTACCATTTGCTGCACAATTCATGCGACGGCTGATACTAATTTATTAGCTTTGATTGATAATTTGGTTCATTTATCGTTTATTAAAATGACTACCGACTTAACAGCTGTTTCAGTTTTAGTTTAATAATGGGGTGAATCTGAAATGTGAAAATATCAGTATTCGGTAGCACCAAACAAGGGTAAAGGAACCCAATTCAGAGATACCAAGAAGTTCTCACTGCATTGCTTCTTTTGTTAGTTCCTTTTGTTGTAAAGAAAAGACTATTTTGGCATCTTAAGTATGCAGTTTTTATAGGGTACTGCTTTTGTCTTTTAGCTGCGAAGTAGTTTCAAAATTCTTTGCTCATGAAACGGATAAGAAGCGATTCGGGGCATGCTAAAACCAGATGACTGATGCTGAAATACTTCCTCACTGTTTCCACTCATCTCATCAAACCCGTCCATTAACCAGGGAGGGGATTGGAGGCTGTGAAACAAAGACTTATAAATTTTCTGATGTTACTATCAAAACTCTATTTTCATTTTTTTAAGATAGTAATTATTTTTCTTTCTGAGGTGTTTAGTATATGATTTTTTTTTTTTAATCATACAGTGCCAATAACTTGGGCAAATATGAGCTATTCAGCTTAATTGGCATCCTATCATTCATAATCTATGGATTCCTTGTAAGATGAAGATGAAGTTTGTTAAACTGGATGGTCAAATATCTTTTTCTTATTTCCTTATTTTCTAATGGAAAGAAATTTTTTTGTCTAATGTCAACATGAATGCATCTTTTTGCTACATGACTTACCGTTTCACTAAATTAGGTGATGTCTGGTAATGATTCTCCATTTCTTTTTAGTGCTAAAGTGATGATCATGATGGATTACTAATTTCAGGGTACCGTCTGAAACACAATTAGTAACTGAACCAGAGCATGCTAGCACCCCACCAAGAGGTTGGAACTCTTACGATTCCTTTTGCTGGACTATTTCCGAGGAAGAATTCTTGCAAAGTGCTGAAATTGTTTCTAACCGTCTTAAGCCACATGGATATGAGGTATGAAATGGTTGATGGCTATATAATGATTTCCTTGAATACTTTATTGACATCTTACCACCATGGAAGTGGAAATTTAATGCGAAATTAAAAAAAAAAAAATTATTTTCATCATTTATCCCTGCACTTGTACACAGTATGTTGTGGTGGATTACCTTTGGTACAGAAGGAAGGTGGAAGGTGCTTACACTGATTCTCTTGGATTCGATGTAATTGATGAATGGGGGAGGCCGATTCCTGACCCAGAAAGATGGCCTTCATCCAAAGGTGGGAAAGGTTTTTCAGAAGTAGCCAAGAAAGTACATAGCATGGGTTTGAAGTTTGGAATTCATGTTATGAGAGGGATAAGCCTGCAAGCTTTTAATGCAAACACCCCCATCTTTGACTCTGTCAAGGTATTAATGCTTATTCCCAGCACAAGTTACTCCTTTTTTTTTTAACTTCCAATGGTGACTTCAAAAGGACATTGAATAACAAAAGTTGAAATGGAAATGTTGAAGGTGAATATCAAGAAACTCAAGAAATTTGAAGCATTAGCATTGACACTTATGTTTGAACTTTTATTTTCTTTCTATTCTCTTTTATTAGGGATCTGCCTACAAAGAGTCTGGTAGACAGTGGAGGGCAAAAGATATAGGGCTCAAGGAGAGGGCTTGTGCTTGGATGTCACATGGTTTCATGAGTGTAAATACCAACCAAGAAGCTGGAAGAGCCTTCTTGAGGTCACTTTATCTCCAATATGCTGAGTGGGGTGTTGATTTTGGTAATGTTAACAGTTATTTTAAAGTCTTCCTGCAATCAGTTTCATTGCGACACTTTGAATTGTGAAAAAATTGACTGAATGCCTTAGGAAATATAGTTTTGTAGTGTGTTTTGAATAGCACAAAAAGTGGTAAATTCATGTTTGCATTTCTTCAGCTTGCTAAAATCTATTCCCTTTCTTGAAAGCATGAGTTGGTAATCATTTTTAATCTTAGAAGTGGGCTAATGGATAAAAATGGGAAAGCCTGAGAGGATTGTAACTAAATTCATCCCAATTGAGGCACATAAATCTTTTATTGTTTGTGTCAATCACAAATGGACAACTTGATCAGATAAATTTCCTTTTTTGTGGTGCTATAACTGGGATCGTTCTAATGCTATTTCCTTCATTTTATTTGTTTTTCTGTTTGCAGTAAAGCATGACTGTGTATTTGGTGATGATTTGGATATAGATGAGATAACCTTTGTATCAGAGGTATGCAGTGGTTTGTGGTAAAACTAGTGATATTCATGTTAAAATTTCTGAAGAGAGATACCTTCTGCAGGTTCTGAGAAAGCTTGATCGCCCCATTTTATATTCGTTGTCCCCTGGTGCTAGTGCGACACCAGCTATGGCTAAAGATGTTAGTGAACTCGTCAATATGTACAGGATTACTGGGGATGATTGGGATACATGGAGAGATGTTGTGTCCCATTTTGACATTAGCAGGTGGATCAAGCATTCCATAAGATTAAGAGTTTATACTTCAGATGAGATTTCAACTTATGCTTTTTTTAAATTTTAGTGCACTTTGCTTCTTTATCTTTTACGTAACCTGATATTCTTGGCTTCTATTTCAGAGACTTCTCTACCTCTAAAATGATAGGTGCCAAGGGCTTGCTGGGGAGGTCGTGGCCTGACTTGGATATGTTACCATTGGGATGGCTCACTGATCCAGGTTATAAGCCCCAGCAAATAGCTATTCCTTTCTCTTGGTGACCCTACCCTTTCACTTCAAGGAGATGACAAGATTGATTGAAGAAATATCGCAATTTAGTAACCCAGTGCTTTTATCAGTTAATTAAAAAGTGACAATGTGATGCTTGCTGTTAACTCTCTTTTGGGTAAATGGTAGTTGTTTGCTCCCATGCACTCAACCTTTATAGCATTTCTTAAGAATATGATTGAGACATATTCAGTCCTGCAGAGCAACTTATACTCCAATAGAATTGTATTTGGCCTTTCATTGTCTGTAGAATTAAATTCTCAAACTTAAAACTTATCTGATATCATGTTTTGTTGACGAGAAAAGTCCAACCAAGTTTTTTTGTGCATTTTTTACCTTTTTAGTTGTGAAGTTTCTGTACTGAGCTGGGCATTTATATGTGAGGGCTTACCTAGAATCAGTGAATAGCCAGAAATAACTGGATACTTTCCTGCATTATAGGTTCAAATGAAGGTCCACATAGACTGTGTAATCTTAATCTAGACGAGCAAAGAACTCAGGTATGTTTCTATAAATACCTGTGATTTGGTCTTCTATTACTTTGCACTACAAATAGAAATTTATGTTAACCTTATTATTTTCTTTTCACAGATGACTTTATGGGCTATGGCCAAGTCTCCTCTCATGTTTGGAGGAGATGTAAGAAAGCTGGACGAAACCACATACAATCTGATCACAAACCCTACACTGCTTGAGATAAACTCTTTTAGCTCAAACAATATGGAGGTATGTAAACTTTCATGGACATATTTTGGTAAATTGAACTTTCATTAATGTAATAATAACATGCTATTTTGTTGTTTTTACAGTTTCGTTATATAACTGGCACAGAGGGATCAACAAGTAAGAATAAGGTTCTCTCCAAGGATTTGGCAGAAGGAAGCATCTTAGATAGAAGAGCTTTGGGCCTTTCTGTCTGCATGGATCCTAAAGCAAATGGTTGGTCAATTAAAGCTCTTGACCAAGATCTTGAAAAAATCTGCTGGAAAGAGAAATTGGGAAGCAAATTTGAGGAACCTCCATGCCTTTACAAGAGAAAACCTCTTCTGGCTTCGTAATTAGTTTTATCTTTCTTAGTTACCTTATTTCCTGTCATTTTTTGCAACATGCAACTTTTTATTCTGTGTTGGATACAACTTATTCAGGGGTGAAGAGATGATCTACAAGCAACAATATGAGGGAACACTCCATTTATTAGCAAGTGATGGTATGGAATTATGCTTCGATGGTTCTCCAAGAAGGAGGCTTACTTCAAAGGAATTTGGGGGAGGTTCTTTCTCACCTTGCAAGATGGATGCTAATCAGGTTTTCTTTATTTGTAATTTACGAAGTAGAGAAGTTCGATGCACAGTTAAAACCAAACAAAGAAAAAAGTTGGAAATACTTACCTGAAAATTAGCCAAAGATGATGAATAAAAATGGAATCTAAAAGGGTTAATGTTATGAATTGCTTATAAACTATAGTAAAATGTCCAATGTAGTACTTGAATTTTGAAAATCTCTAATATGATACTTGAACTATGAATTTGTTAACTAACATAATACTTGGAGGGTTGTTTGTGCGTCATGTGTCATCATTTGGAGTTGTTACATTAGGAGTGAATATCATATTAGTTAACAAATTCATAGTTTAGGTATTACATTATAGATTTTTAAAATTTAGGCACTACATTGAACATTTCACTATAATTCATGGGCCATTCATAATATTAACCTAATCTAAAACAATGGGTTGTTGACACGTTTTCCTTTATAGCTCCATTCAGGTAGCTCGATAATCACAAATAAGAAGAATTGTTAGAGTTTTGTCATAAATGCACAATCCTAGTAGGCAGGACTGCATTGTTATCAACTCATGCTGGTTAGCTTGAAACGAATCTGACCCTTATCAGACCACTAGCATTTAAATATAAACATTATCCAGTAATTTTAGTACCTTGTTATTGATGACTGTTTTTCTAGGCTAGGTGTATAAAAATAAAGTCTTCAAGCCTAATGCTTCCATTCTGAAATTCACAGATGTGGGAGTTAAATGCTAATGGATCTCTCATAAACAGTTATTCTGGTCTATGTGCAACAGTGGGATCATTGGAAGGTGATATATTTGGTGTTAACTGAATTGCTACAGAAATCTACAAGACTTTGGTACTTTTTCTGTTATAATTTACATTTTTCTTACTTTCCAAATACTTTTTGATTGTTCATGCAGCTGATGTCGATTCCAGTGGAACTCGCTCTTGGATTGCAACTGGAATAAGAGGTTTGATATATTTGGAACTGTTGATAAGATTTTTTTTTTTTTTTATCAATTTATACAGCAGATTCGAACACCATGCCGGAGAATATTGTCCTACTTGAAAGCTCTTTCTTGTTTTAATTATCTTTTTCATACTTTTCCAGGAGAAATATATCTTGCTTTTTTTAATTTGAACCCGGAGAAGATTGTGATATCTGCTAACGTAGCAGACCTTTCTAAGGTACTTCCCTGGAAAAACTTGAAAGGAGCATCATGTAAGTACCGTGAAATTTGGAGTGGAAACTATGGAGTGACAAAACAGTTGATATCAATAGCAGTGGAGAGGCATGGTTCTGCTTTGTTTGTTCTGCTTTGTGATTAGTGTAGGAAAGTTTTATGGTCAGATACCCTCTGCCCATTACCTCTTATTTTATGTCTCGATTTTCATTCTTATGCAATGGTGATCTATATTATCTATATTAATGCTGTTGTCGTTTGTTTGTTGTATAATTTTTTTTATATCTTTTTCGTATTTAATTCTATAAAGATTTTTATTATTTATAAATATATAAATTTACCTATTAAAAATTTTTTTTTTTAAATTCTTCTTTTGTATGTCTTCATATCTATCAAATAATATTTATCAATCTTGAAAAAAAAAAATCTTAAATAAATTTCTTATGTGATTTGAATTAATTTTAACAATCTTCACATTTATTCAAATTTCATCAAATTATCATTTTTTATATTAGACGTACTTGACTCTATGTAATGAAAGTTTTGTAATTATCTTCTATTGTATGTTTTTATCGTTTTACTCAAATTGATCTCTCAACACATAAACTTAAATCCTTCCTTGAATCAAGTTCATTTGGGGTTGTCTTGAATCACGTTTAGACCATTGTTTTGATATCAATTATTAGGATTTCATCTACATTTGCTTTGAATATAGCTGTAATATCAGTTTTATAATCAGCTTTGATTCTAGTTATTAGGCAAAATTTCCTAATTAATTAGAGCATCTAAATTAACAAAAATAAAATCAAACAATAAATTAATTACATATAAAATAATAATTTAACATGACTAATCTAATCAGTTTATATCAACAAAAAAAAATTTCATTAATTATAAAAATTTATAAATATATAATCATATTAATTAATATTCAATATCAAATAATACTCATAAATTCTCTCATTTTTTTAATCTTATAAAGTATTTTCAACCAAAACAAACACATTATATGGCTTATCATAATATGAACTTTTTCATTTTTCTTTAATCTATTCAAACAAGCAAACCTATAAGAATCATCTCAATTTTCTCAAATCTTTTCGGCTTTTTCTGCTTTTTTTTTTTTTTAATGCAAAGGGAGGTCCAAGCTTAGAATACAGGGAAAAAATTTGCTAGCCCTTGGGTATTAAACCACAGTTTTGTAAGATCATTTAAATTAAATCTTAAGTTCAAAGCATTGATACGATGAGGCCAATTTGTAATATTTTTCAAATCATTATAGTTTTCTTTTCTTATTTTAACGCAAGATTTCCCTTTCCAAATCAACTAAAATAATTAAATACTATTAAATAGTATTTAATATAGAGTGATCATTTTAAAAATTATGATAATTTATATATAGTGATTAAATCACTTTAAAAGATTCAATAATCTTAAGTGAAGGTGATTTTATATCATTAAAAATGATTAGATCATGAACTTAAAAGGTTTTATTATTGAAATAAAATGATATGTAAAATTAATAATAATCAATTTACATATTTAATATATGAATTACAAATTTGCTTCTTCTTAAAATTGTAATTATTTATATTATAAATTTTATTATTTGAAAAATAATACTTAATGTAATAGTTCAAAAATAAATTGTGTGTTTTCTTTAATATTTTATATATAATATAATCTATTTGTTTTTTATTATAAATTTAATATGAATTTAATAGATTAGTTTTATTTTTGAAATCAAATATTTTTTACATAATTTTTATTATAAAAATAATTTATTTATCAATAAATATATTTATTATTTAATTATATTTTATTAATAAATAAATAAAATATTACTAATATTTTATAAATTACTATCTTTAAATAACATTAAATTATTAATTTGTATAATTATTGTAATATATATAGTTATTTTCGTACTTTAAACAAAATAATATTTAATTTTTAATAATACCAAATATAGTAATATTTAATTACTAAGCATTAATGATTGTTAATCAAATAAAATAATTTTAAATTAATTAGTGATAAGATTATCTTAATAATAAAATTACTTAAATAATTACATTACTATAGTCTTACTAGAGATACCAAACACTGCCTTAAATTTTTACGTAATCTACTATCGGATGGATTGTACCGTGATGCCACAACATTTAAGATTACATAACAATGGACATTTAAAAAAAAAAAAAAAAGAAGCACATAATATTTGAGGTGGGGCAATTTAGTGATTTTCTTTGGAATTTGTCCACTCTTTAGATTTTTTATTTTTAATTTGAAGAAAAGGATTGAAATTCTTATCTTTTGAACAAGGTTGACTCTTTATATTTTAAACATAAGGAAAGGGTTGAGTTTCTATCCATTATTTATTTATTTATTATTTCTCAAAACATTCATCAACATCATTCACGTGTAAGATTTACTTATGAATTGTGAAAATCATTATTGTAAATATGATTAAAATTATATTGAAAAATAATGGCTAAAAGTGTAAAAGAGCAGACCGTAAATACAAAAATGCTGATGGAAAATTAGTGCCAGTGGTACTGATGGAGGCGATGTTTATGGAAATACATTTACAATAATGCACTGTCTTTGTAAAATTTGGTGAAAACGATATATTAAAGGCAAAAATCATTCTTAAAAATAGTATTTAATCCAAGATTAAATTCCTGCCAAATCATTAAAATTTAACTCTTAAAAAATTATTTTTGTTAAATTAAACTCTTATTTTGAGTAAAAACCACTAAATTTTGTTTAAAATAGATGTTTAATTAAAAAATAATATTTTAAATGTTTAATTAAACAAAAATTACACTTTAAGAGTTTAATTAAAAAAAACAATTTAAAAGTTTAATTAGGGAATAAAAGAATTCTAAGAAAATTTTTATTAAAAAATACATTTTTTTCGTATTTTAATCAAATTGCAACCAACTTTTAAATTCAGCAAACACAATTGGCAGTCACAAAAAATGCCTTTCTTCTCTTGAGAGAGGGTTTTAAATTTTAACTCTATTGGTTTTTTGTTTATGCATAAAAGGGTAGAAGCTCAAATTAATGAAAACGGTGAGTCCCATAATGCAGATAAGGTTTCTGGCAAGTCTTTGCCTATTTGTCTGAATTTCAAAGCCCTTGTCTCTTGCTACGACATATGGCCAATAATGGAGGGCAAATTCAACGCCGTATCAATTCTTTTTCCATGAAGCAACAGTGGAGAAATCAAACTAAAAGTCCAATATCAACAAAAGAAAACAAAGATTCTATTCACAGTGCATACATATAAATATATAGGCATTTGAGTTTGTTCAAGCAACTATTAATGTTTAGCAGATTTTAAATTCAAATTTCAATATTCATAATTATTTTCATTGTCATGAACATTTGTAAAAAAATAATGCACATATGCATTTGTGTTTTGACCATGACACTTTCGGAAATTATAAATCCAGACTTTGCGAATGGACCCTAGAGGCGGTCTGGCTTAAATGCTTTTTTTTTTTTTTTGATGTTTTCCCCACTTCATTTGCTAATTATGATTTTTTTTTTTTTTTTGCCTATAGGATTTGAATAAGTGCAAGGAAACATGATTTCATGCCTATATTATTTGTTAATTCAAACATGGTGGGAAGAGCGATCACCTATGCAAAAGGATGAAATATCAAATTATTTATTATTTATATTTTTATTACTCTTTTAAAATCTCTTTATAATTTTTTATACAAAAAAAATCGTCATTTAAAGAAAAAAAAGAATTATAGGAGCTAAAATTTAAAATTTTAAATTTATTAAATATCACGTTTTAGATATAATTTCATAAATCAAATGAGTTTATTTTTGGATTTATCTTTTTTATAAATTTGGTTTCCATATAATTGTGTTTTTTTTTTCTTTGTTAAAATAAAAAAAGCATAATATGATCCAATGAAATGATTAAAAATTAAAACTTTTAATGTTTATTAATGATTTTCTATGTTACATCATTTTTACCATGTATTCATTTTAATTAAATATGTTTTTTTATTATTTGCTCTTACTCTTTAACAGTATTTTAAAATGCAAATACTAAAATTTAAGTGTTAAAAATAATAATAATGCACACACATCATTAAATGAGGCTCTTCAACTCCAACTCTATAGCTAGATGAATGAATTTCTGTATATATGTGCTTTACTTTTCAAAATAAATAAATATTAAAAACATTAGCATATCAATTAACATAGTTAATAATAAGTTTAGGGGCCCATTATGCTTGTCATGATCTAATTCACTTTTTAGATAAAACAAACTACCATTTTTTTAATAAAATCATAAAATTATAATTTTTTAAAAATAATAAGATTTATACATTTGGTATTTCAAATTTTTGCTTATTTTTTAAATTTTAATTTAATATAATATTTTAAAACAGTGATCAAAGTTGAACTTGTTGATAAAAAATTAAACATGAACAAACAAAATGAAAGAAAAAGAATAATATTTTATATATTTATCTTTATAGCTCGCATAAGAAACCAAATCTACAATTTAAAAATAAACATGTGATTGTTAATCATATTTATGCATTGTAAACTAACAAACTATAGGTCATAAAATATTAAAATATTATCTGGAATCATAAGTTTGTTGATACTAAAATCATTATTTTATGGATTAAGACTTCATTCAAAAATATAACACTAACTTTGGCAATATATATAATTTTATTAAAAAATGTGACAGTCTAAAAATTAAAAAAAAAAATACACATTAAAATATAAATTTTAAATTTATTAAATATCAACTTTTAAAATTGGCGACATAAACTCGAGTTCTGTGCAATTTACTAATACTAATAGGAGTTATAAAAATAATTTTTTCTGACATGGTGTATGAACTTTTGTGGTGGAAATGAAAAAAATAATATTGCGGTCCAAAATCCATTTGTGCAATTTTTTGGCGCGTCAGTATTTTAATGCCAAACCAACTCCTTATAATAAAGCCCTTCGGGTCTTCTCTTTGTAAAGTCAGCTTAGCCACTTCAGTTTCCACGAACAATCTCAGACACAGACAGACAACCGATCGGCTGCGTATTTTAAGGATCTTTTTTCCACTTTACTTGTTCAACGTTAACGAACTTCTCGCTCTTTCCTTTCTTTTTCTTCTCTGTGTAATTTTCTTTTAATTTTCTTTCATTTTCCCTAATTTCCACTTATCTTCGTTTTCTTTCTATCCAAACATGACCTCCTCATCCATAAGAACTACCCCTGGTTATATATCATCCTGCTATTGCTTCAGAGATAAAGACTTTTTCCCTAGCAGTAACAAGTCTCAATTAAAATTTCCCAGATTAAATAAATCAAAATTCTTATGTGTATCTGGTTCGGATAAGAAATTCGCTGTTTCTTCTTGTTCAACGGCGATTGAAATTCCTTTGGAAACCACTTACAGACTAGGAGTTTCGGACAAGATTCAGCTTTTGATTTCAGAATTCAAGTCTTTAACAGAGCCAATAGATCGCGTGAAACGGCTCTTACGTTACGCAGAGATGCTTGCTCCGTTTGACGAGTTGGCTCGGGTGCCGGAGAACAGAGTCAAGGGCTGCACCACTCAGGTGTGGCTCGACGCCAGAATAGACAAAAATGGAAAGGCAAGGTTTCGAGCCGACAGCGATTCGGAGATTACTAAAGGGTTCTGTTCGTGTCTAATATGGATGATGGACGGTGCCGATCCTGATGAGGTGGTGGGAGTGAGGGCGGAGGATTTGGTTGAGTTGAACGTCGGGGCCCATGGGAAGGCCAAATCGAGAGTCAACACGTGGCAGAATGTGTTGATTAGTATGCGGGATAGAACGGAGGCGTTGATGGTGGAGAGAGAGGGAAAGCTGCCTCAGCTGAGGCCATTTCCTTCATTCCTTGTCAGCTCTAATCATGGCAGTTACACCAGAGTTTAGGTTGTCCCCTGTTTCTTTGTCTTTGGTATTTTCAAGATGTGTAAATGAAAGTTGGGTAGTATCATGAGTTGGATATGGGGAAATCTCAATAAAAAGGGTATTTTCGAAAAAAAAAAAAAGGTGGGTCATTGACCAATATCTTTGGACAAGTCTGCTAGAACGCAAAGTTTTTGGAACAATTGATATGAAAAGAAAAATTATCTTTTTTTTTTTTTATATAAAAAATCGTAATACATTAACAAAAAACATTATAAGTGTTAAATTTTAAAATTTAAAATTATTAAATTATATTTTTTAAAAGTGATTGTATAAATTAATTAAATTAAATTTTAAATTTTCTTTTTATTATTCTAATAATAATTTTCTTTGCTTTCCGAAATTATTGATTAAATTGCATCTCAATTTTCGTTATACTTGTTAGTAGAATTTTGGACTGACAATATCAGAAACTGTCGTAGGGATATACGAAAGATATGATCATCTACAAGAAACAATTTAAGAGGGCACTCCATTGATCAATTAGCAAGTGATGGGAAAGATTAAGCAGGAATGCTTCTTGGAAACGGAGGCCTGCTTCAAAAGAATTTATAGGAAATGGGATGCTCAGACCAGGTATCTACTAAATTTGGGTAATTTACAAAGAAAAGAAAAGCTGGAGTCCTCCCTCGTGTTGAATTACTTGAAGAAAAAACGGTTGAAATAGTACTTAGTTTGAAGTTCAGCAAAAGTGTTTGACATTGCATTATTGCAGCGTATGTAGTATATATGTACTGATCTACTTAATTATCATTTGTAAGACAAAGGAGTGTAAGAAACAATGGAATTGTTACCAATTTGTGTATTGTAAAACCCCATTATAATTTCCAATTTAATGAAGAATTTCAGCCTACCTATGTTGCTCCAATTTTGATTCTCTTAAAATATCTCTAACACACATTCAATGGATACGAAAATAAAGATTTAAATCATATTTAGTATATAAGATGATAAATAAGATAAAATAATAATCATCTTATAATGTATTTAATTTACTTTTAAAGAAAAAAATTGAATTATAAAAAAGATTAATTATTCTTTTGATATAAAATAATTTAATTCTCTCAAAGTAGAGAATATTAATTTTAATCCATAAGATTGAACTTACATATCTTATTATATTTTTAAAAATTACATCAATAATTTAAATTATATAAATTTTAAGAAAAAATAATTTTTATCAATAAATAAATTATTTTATCTTAATTCTTTTACATATAAAATATAAAATAAAATGATATTATTTAATTTAATTTTATTTATAATATTTATTTTATTTCAGGTTATTATAATTTTGTATATCAAATATGTATTTAATTTTTTAAATATAAAAAAAAAAAAAAAAAAAAACTTAAAACGTCAAAATGATACCCACATTCGACACTTACCTTAATATGTCCAAGTAAACATAACATAGATAATGAGTTCACGACTGATTCATCCCAAAACCGTGTTATTATCTGTATAAATTACTATGGCTAATCGGCATTTGACAATCACAGTTGTTAGTATTGGAAAATGGTTTTTACACTAAACTGATTTATCCGATCTTTATCCGAAAAGTAATGTTGAATACAAACAAACCAAATCTTCATATATATCTTGTCATTGATGACTAGTAAATTTTATAAGTCAAAAATTTTTTTTGTAGGAAATATATAAATATCTGGAAAATAAATTGCTCCTTCTTTTGGTTATTTTTTATAAGGTGCAAATTTATCACTACACTTAATATGCGGTAGTTTAAATGTATCAACAATCTCTCAATTGATACAATTTTACTATCATATAATTCTAATTCTGGAGCACATTTACTATTTTATTTTTAATTTTGAAGCAATTAAAAATATGTAATAAAATTTCATTAGAAGCTATTTTACAGTTATAAAACAATTTTGAAAATGAGATGGTAGGGAAAAAAACACTAATCAAGCTAAAATAAAAAATATGTTTTTTCTTTTTTATCATAACATTTTTATTAAAATATATAATATCACATAATTCAAAATTTTATTTCTTTATTTCTTTCTTCTTTCACAAGTTTTTTATTAAATAAAATGTCATATCATGATCTTTCAATTGACTTTAATCTCCTACAATGTCATTTTTAAGATTTTTTTTTTTCTTGTTATAAAACAGTTTCTCACAAAAATATTACATAAAACATTTTTAAACGGTTATACGTTGATTAAATTTAATTCAAAATTAAAAACATGGTGGTAAATTTACTCCAAAATAAAAATATAGTAATAAAATTATACAATTGAAAGATTAATGATAAATTTTGATCACTTACATAAATAGAGTGATAAGTTAATACTTTTTTTTTCAATTTCCGATGGGATTTGTTGTCATTGATAAGTCATGCAGATAATAAATGGTTCCAATGGCAAATTTCTTCTAAATTTCTTGAATGTTTGTTCCAAGTTGAAGTTAGGTTGGTGTCGATTTATTAATCTTTTAACAATTGTACGATAATTAGGTAGAGGGTGGCACAATTTCTACGTTTCTAACTTAAATAAATCACTTTGAATAAAGACGGATTGCCTTGCTAAGAAAATGAGTTTAGTATCATGTAATTGATTTTGGATCAATCAAAAGTTATAGATTTTGGTCTTTTTTTTACACAAAACTTTAACTACTTAATAAAAAGATGTGGAGCTGTTTTAAGGTGGTGTCACAAACCAAGAAGAGAAATAAGAAAAGCTAAAAAAAATAGAGAGAAAAATGAGAAAGGAGAGTTGGTTGAATGGAGATTGATTTGTGGTTCGATTAAGCTGAAATTTTGTCAGCAGGTTTATGATTCAGAGTTTCACATTCTAAATGGTGAATATAGGATTTAAAGTTCTCTAAGAATAAATCCATGATGTATTTGTTAAGTCACCTATTTAGTGAGATTTTTTCAATTGTCTCTCTAGTTGTTGATTAGCTCTAATTTTAGCTAGAGAAGAACTTTGTATATCCATCATTTGATAGTGGAGATTTTTTTTATGATCCGTGATTTTTCCTTTTACACTGAAGGGTTTGTCACGTAAATTTTAGTGTGCTTTATTTTTTTTTGTGTTGTTGACTATTGATTGTTGTCTATTACTATGGGTTTATTGCGTTATATTGCTTTTGCATTGTTGTGTTTATTGCTTAAGGCCCAACAAGTGATATCAGAGTGAGGTTATTTTAAGACATTAATATAAAAGCAGCCCAAGATAGAAATAAATTTTGTTTGAGATCATAGAGAGTGATACAGACTCCATGATAAAATTGATAGCATCAAATTATTAAATTTGAAAGCCAATGATGGAAGATCATTTATACTACAAAGATTTGTATGAGTCGGTATTGGGTTATTTGGCTAAACTAACAGATATGAAAGATGCAAACTAAAACAAGTTTGGCAGAAAGATGATGGCTACAATAAAAAAATGGATTAATATCAGCATCTTCTATCATGTAGTCGCAGGAGGCAAATGCCACACAGTTTGAAAAAAATTGACAGCATTGTATGAGAGAAAAATAGGTATGAATAAACTTATGTTTGTTAAAAACTTACAACTTTACAGTATAAGGATGGATGATCTATTACAGAGTACTTGAGTGATTTTCAAGATATATTTAATCGAATGACTACTATGGAGCTTAAGATGGATGATGAAATGAATGTATTATTTCTTTTGGGTTCATTATCAGATAGCTAGAATACTTTAGTTGTAATTGTTCTTAATTCAGCTTCTGATTACAAAGTGACATTAGAGATGGTAAAAAATAGTATGCTTAATGAAAAAACAAAGCAAAAAGATGTAGACCCTGAGAATCAAGCTTTGGTCACAAAGAATAGGGGATAGAAACATTGACAGAGGTTGGAATTCAAAAGGTCGCAGTAAGTCTAAACATAGATCCAAATCTAGAGATAAAGTGAAGTGTTTTCCATTGTGGTAAAGCAGGTTATATAAAACGACATTATAAAATCTTAAAGTAAGAATGAAAAGATGAGAAAAACAAGAGTTCAAATGATGGCAATGTTACAGTAGTGAATTTAAATAATGATTCAGTTACTTTGATTTGTACACATGATAATTGTAATCATATTGGTGATATCGACATTGAGTGGATAGTTGACACAGAAGCAGCATATCATTGTTTTTCTAAGAGAGAGTTGTTTATAACTTACAAAGTAAAAAACTTTGATTGCACTAAGATGGGAAACAATAGTGTATCACAGATTGTTGGGATTGGTGATATTGTTATATAAACTAGTATAGGCTACATGCTGACTTAAGGGATGTTAGGCACATTCTAGATATGAGAATGAACTTGCTTACTATTAATATCCTTGATAATGAGAGATATGAGAGTTACAAAATAATGGGCAGTTAAAGCTTCTCAAAAGATCTATGGTAGTTGCAAGAAAAAAACTATGCGACACAATGTATAATACATGGATGCAATTGAATGGCAACTAGATAAATGCAGTTGAGGATGATGCTTTAACAAACTTGTGGCACAAAAGGCTGGCACACATGAATGAGAAGAGGTTACAAGTTTTGGCAAGGTAGTTTCTCATTTCCTTGACCAAAGGTATATCTCTCAATTCATGTGATCGTTATTTGTTTAGTAAGCACAATACAGTTTCTTTTCGTAAGAGTTCTAAAAAAAAAGATTTGAATTAATTTATTTTGACGTATGTAATCTCATTGAGGTTGAGTCATTAGATGGTAGCAAGTATTTTGTTACTTTTATTGATGTTGCTTCACGTAAGACTTAGGTGTATATATTGAAAAATAAAAGTCAAGTATTACAGTATTTTTAAAAATTTCATGCTATGGTAGAAAAGATGACAGAGTTACCCTTAAAGTATATTCGGACTAATAATGGTAGGGAATACATATCCAAAGACTTTAAAGAGTATTATTCAAAGCATGAGATCAGACATGAGATAATAGAACCTAGAATACCGTAACATAATGGTGTAGCTGAAAGGATGAACCACACCATTGTAAAAAAAGTCAGATATGTGTTGAGGATGGTAAAATTATCAAAGCCATTTTAGGGTGAAGCAGTCAACACAACTTGTTATTTACTTAACAGATCATCATTAGTTTCTTTGGGCTTTGATATTTTAAAAAGAATGTGGACAGAGAAAGATGCTTCATACTCTCATTTGAAAGTTTTTGAGTGTAAAGTATTTATGCATATACTAAAAGAGTAGAGGTCAAAGCTTGATAGTAAAGTCATACAGTGTGTGTTTGTAGGATATGATGATGCTAAATTTAGCTACAGGATATGGTATCCAATGAAGAGAAAGACAGTCAAAAGTAGAGATGTGATTTTTCATGAAAAAGAAATCATAATAGACCTTGAAAAAAATGAGAAGACTATACATATTACTATTGAGTGTGATGTTTTAACATTGATAAGGGTTCCACAAGAAAGAGCCACAGATGGTAAAAATGAGCAAGAAACATAACTTAAGGATATGAATGAGCTAGCCATAGTTAGTGATGAGCTCAAATTCAATCAGTTTTAAACATAGAGAGTAATTTTCTCCACCAAAGAGTGTTGAATAGAGGGAGCTACCTTCGGCGTCAGATGGTATAGAGTTTTAACCTAGAAGATCTACTAGAGAGCACATGCTATCTACCATGTATCCAAGTTTAAATTTTATTTTAGTTATCAATGAGAGGAAGCTAAAGAGCTTTTAAGATGTGCAGGCTCTTTCGGACAGAGAGCACTAGTTAAAAGCAATGAAAGAAAAGATTGAGTTATTACGAAAAAATGATACGTATAATCTTGTTAAACTTTCAAAAGAGGAGAGGTCGTTGAAAAATAAATGGGTGTTCAAGTTAAAAAA